TCTTATGCATAAAATAAAGCAGCGTCTCACAAAAATGACTCAAATGCGTATCCGGATGAGGAAGCTTGCCTTGAAAACAAGGTTGTGTACTGCTTTGTTTTTCAAATTGTTTCTACTTCTAGTAGCAGAATCTGTGAATAAACTGACAGTGATTTAGGTTAGAATTTTTCTGATGAATCATGGTCTTAAAGTTTCCTTACCAGTTAAAACTTTCCTGTGGGCAATCTGATATCTGAAAATTCTCTGACATTTCATTGTTGACTTATTGGGCAGTAGTTTGTGGTAGGTAATTTATTTGCCAGCGTCAATGTTTTCATGGTTGGGCTGCCTCTGATTTTAATTGGGATTTAACTTATTAGTCAATGCTTTGCTTGAACTTTCTGGTGTCTTATTTTGCCTCTTTCAGCCATTTTGGAGTTCATTTAATTGGTTAGCCTGTTATGAAATCCTAATGTGCTATTGAGGTCCCTTCCCAATTTAAACTTGTTTTTTATTTATGTTTTACCACAGGGAGAAAATAATGACCACACCCAGAAAAGAGAAAAAGAGAGAGGCTAGAAGGGAGGAAAAGGCTGAAAAGGCTGCAGTTCTGGACAAGGTTGTAATTTTCTGCTAAGATGCCTTTCCTCTTTGTTATGTTATGTTTTTTTTTTTTCATCACTCTGCCTTTATTGAATGTTTATCTCCTAATTGGTCCTGACTGAATCTTTTGCAGAGTATTGAGAAAGAGTTGCTTGAACGTCTCAAAAAAGGAGTTTATGGAGACATATATAACTATCCTTTTAATGAGTATGAGAGAATTCTTGAGGACCAGGCTGAGAGTGAAGAGGAAGTTGAGGAGGTTTGTTTTATGACACGTGTAGATTCATGTAATAACACATCTTAGCTTTTTGATTGCTGAGATTTTTGTAGAATAAGCAGGAACCTGAAATAGAATATGTTGAGGGCTATGATGGACTTGAGGAGGAGGATGATATAGAAGATTTTGGTGGTTTTGCAATGGATAGATCTCACAAGGGTAAGGGTAAAACTGTTCACATGTTTATGGAAAACGAAATATGTTTATCTTTCATGCAAAATGCTTGCATATGGTTTGAAACCATTGTTGCTGCCACCTATCTTTGTTACCATAGTTCACCAATCTACCATTCTTCTGTCCAATTTCTTATCAATTTAGTGGTTTTCTTAAAGATGGTTTCCTGCATCACGCAGTCTTATCAAATAGGTTTTTTTCTTTTTCTTTTTTCTTTTTCCTTACCCAGCTTCTGCTGCTGGTGACAATGATGATGATGAAGAAGATCAAGGAGAGGATACAGTGGAGTGGAAGAAGCTGAAAAGTGGGTCTTCATCTGCCCAGAAAAGGCACAAAAAAGGTGAATCTGGTACAAAGGTGAAGAAGAGAGCAAGGGTTCTAGTTGAGGTAAAAACCCTCAAACTCTTACGCTTCATTTGGGAATGTATTCATGTACAAATGTTTTTCACGCACAGCACCTTACCTGAAAATGTAAATTTGTTATTCTTAATTAATTTTAATTAATATTTTATATATTTTTGAGATAGTAGAAGACAGAAAAACCTATAGCTACAACCTAGCACCGCACCACACTCCCAAATGAAGCCTATATTTCAACCTCGTTTGCATAATCATCTGATATTTAAATTCATAGTCATATGATATTCACATATAAGCGTCCATCTTGTTCAATTGGATATTCCATCGGATGGGGATTATGCTCTGTAAATTTTTTACTTCAACCTAAATCTTGTAACATGTCTATTAGATGTTATTTTTCCTCTTTCAACTTCTGTGGGAAGAGAAGAGGGGGATTATCAATGGGCTACCCATTATATGGAGTTGTGATTTCTTCTTAGCATCATCAATGCCTGATTTATTTCTTTATTTATTTTTTGAAATAATTGTCCGATATATTTGGTTTCTTCTTAAAAAATGTGAAACTGGAGGCACCAGCACATTACCCTTTCATATCTGGTCTACTGTCATGTCCTGCAAGCAACAGAATTGTCTTTTGGTACCTGGATAGCCAGTTATCCTGTCCGTAAATTAGTTCATGGCTAGTAAAATTTGTCTTTTCAAAGTACCAAGAAAATCACTTTTTACCTATGATCTAAAATCCATCACATGTGTTGTTCTATGCATTCCACTACATTTAGCTCTAATTTTATTTGTCTGTTTATAGATAGTTCTTTTAAGTTCTGATAATACAAATTAGTTCTTCATTTCATATGGGTTTTTTTGAATTAACTTGGTTTTTATCAGGTTGAACATGAGGATGCAGCTGGAAGACAGAAAGCAACGTTGTGAGAGCTTTTTGTAATCCGATCAATTAATCTAGGAACAGCAGCATGCCAAGTGCATGGAAAGTGCATGGAAAATACATGAGTTGTATGACTTCCTTCCCTGCAATGAGCGAAAGTAGGGACCCCAGAATTTTGACCATAAACTATTGCTTCGACTCCATAAAACGAATTTGCTGTGTTTTGTTTCGTGTTATTGCTATACCTTTTGCGTTTTGTTCTATATCTGAAGAGGAATCTTGAAGCTAAAGATTGATATTAGGACGTTTTATCATTTAAAATGTCAAAATCCCATCTCAGTTAAAAGATGGGTGAGCTATAGTGTTGGTTTTCCTCGGATTTTATTTATTAAGTGATAGGGATTAGACATCTTGATAATTTTAATGAATGTTGTCCTAATTTTTACTGCTCTTTGAAGAATGCATACTTCTACAAGTTCTACGAAGGCAAGGGTTTGAAATCAATCATCATCCGAGGGTGTCTTACCCTAGAGCAAGTGCCTTGGCCACTTGCTCTGGATGGGAAAGACCTCCGATTCGCGAGCAGCTTTTTTTTATTAGCTGACTAAATACAATTGCCTCAGCTCTTACGAAAATAATAATAATAATAATAATAATAAAACAAATCAAAATTCTTCCATTATGAACGAGGTGATGGTGCAGCTAACTAATGGTGTGTTTGGATTGAGGGTTTTGGAGGGGAAGGTATCTTCTTCTTTCATATTTTTGTTTTTGTTTTGTTTGAGTCTCTTAATAAAGAGAAGTTTTGATTGACAATGTGTCATACAAATTCTTATTCACACAATATGTTATTTGAAAATGTAAATTTATAATTAATAATAAATTTTAATTAATTTTTAATATATATTTTTATTAATTTTAATTAATATTTTATATATTTTTAAGATAATAAA